AGTTCCTACTCGGCGGAGCCCACGCCACCGTATTTCCCGTACATTTATAAGTCGGGTCAAACATTCTACTTTTGTTTCTTCAGGAACTGTCAAAGAAATCAAGAAATGAACGTGACGAGCAACGCTGGTCAGGTAAATGGCAATTACCTAAAATCCTTAATAGTCTCCCATTTATTTCCCAAAGTAACATGAATAAAATAAGTGATTCTCGGAAGTATGTTAATTTTCAGAATGGAAGACCATTTGAATCCGAAGCTGGCCTCGAGACGCAGTCATCTTTTAGGTTAAGCAAAGCAAGGATAGTCTTGTGTGTACGCTGTTATGTCTTTGGTATTGCTTTAAATTATAAAGTCTACAGTACCGATTTTTCGGGTTGACATTGGCGGATGGACACAGCAATACAGACATTGGCAAACCCAGCTTCAAAGTTCGCATGGGCAGCGGATGCAGTGAACGAAAACAGATGTTGTTTCCTCTGTGTGCAAACATTCCTGCCGACCCTGACCTGAGATTCTCTGTTGGAGTTCCAGCACTTTTGCTGTGAACTTTAACCAGTTCACGCGTTCACCCGGCGAGAAGGAAAAGTTAATTGCTTTCTGTACCAAAATAAAATTAAACTTGGCTGGTGCTGACTATGGTTTCTTGGCTCTAGGAGAAAAGCTTTGTTAAGTTGAATGCTAACTGTTCAATAAAGTAGTATGATTTATAGTTAAGGAAGTTGATGGAACTACAGCGGTTCTTATTTTTGTAAATGTTTTTCGAAAGGCCAGCCTTTCTTAAAAGTGTCAAAAATATTAGTATCCTCCAGCTCGCAGTAAAACAGTTGTTTCTGAAAATAACATACGTTAAGACTAACTTCAACAGGAAACTGGTAACCCAGGTTTTGATCTTTATTAATTAGGCAACATAAGTCAGTTGCAGATACCCTTGATACTACAGTTTCTCTGCCACCCACTTTGAGCGTAGAAAGTGTTTGCTCCTACCGGGGACTACGAAAAGACGTGCCTACCGAAGGATATATGTAGATGTATGTCCTTGTACTGAAAGTCTCAGAATTAAGAAGATTTGACAAGATATATTGTCAGGCTATTTACGTTATTTGGGTTCATAAATCTCAGCCTATGGGAATTCAAACATTTGAGAGACCGTCACTTAGTTAAGTTTTTTAGATAGTAAGTCCTATGTCCCTCTCTCCTTGTGGCTGATAACATAACTTTATATCCCCAAGCGTTGATGTTTAGCGGGTTGAGTACTTCCGCTGTTATTTGACTTACTCAGCGGTTGGCCCATCGAGAGTGTGGGACGTCCTCGGTTAGTTATGTTTGTATGCAACAGCCTTCAGAGCCTCTATTGTTGGCCTGAAGACCAATTGCTTGCGATTCCCCTAGCACAGCTGAAAACTTTTGCGAGTTTGAAACGAACAGTAGGGAATACCGTCGTTTATTACAATAATTTAGCCTGGCTCAGTTGTCAGACGTATGATGCCTTCGAAAATGTTTTTTGAGCTATCTGTGGACGTCTAACCATTAAAGAGTAATGTAGGTGGATGTTTAACGAACTCTGGTAGCCCGTACGTCGGTGTGCCTGTCTCGTCAAATATGTTTCACTCGTAACTCGTCGCCTCGATAGGATTGTGTTTGATGGTCCAACTTACTTGAATGTCTACGCCAGCGCCCAGAATATCACCGGCGGCTGATGACAAGCAAGCTTAAGTTTGTCATTCCTATGGCCCTTTGCCAGGGTCGCTTCGTAATTGCTTAAATAACAGGCATGAGAGGGAGTGAAGTAAGATCTACGGAGGCTTTTCTGCATACTGTGACCCACAAAGAATTCGTCCCGATCCACGGCTTGTAACGGAAGGTCTTAAGTTGCACAACTCTTTCTAGAACCGTCTTTTACTCGCATTTTTGTAGGACTCTACGGTTCGACTACTGGAGAATCCGTTCAGTCTTCAGGAAGTCGCAGTGTCAGGATTTGTAAGATGTGCTGTGGAGCTAGCATACCTGTTACGAAAAGCTTGAGGACAGCAAATGTCAGCAAACTAAAAGATAGTGTCCTTTACTGATTTCTTTTAATCCTCACAATCCAGCTTGGTGTTTCTTGATTTTACTTTGCCTATTTTACCTCTCCGTAATTTTACTTTGCATGAATTAATTGTGCAGCAGTCACACTCTTAGCGCAAAAGTGATCAGTTATTAACTAGGGTACAGGGCGTTATTAGGCTATTGTGGGGTTTTCACGAATCCCACCCAACACTTAAACCGCTGGATTGGCTAGAGGTTGTTGAGACAGCTTAGTGATCAGAAAGACTGAGCACCGTCGCTGCCCAACTTCGTTGGAACTATAAAACACCAGATCAATGAGGTACATGACCCCACTCTCTGGCGACTGCAAGAAACCTGAAATTATACGTCTGAAACGTATGCTTTAAGTCACTGCTGCTGCGTTTCTTTACCGAAGACTCTTATCACTTGAGGTAAATTAAATTAGACCGAAATTTTACTGTGCGTGTGCAGATCCCCGCTACTGGAAGATCTCTGTCGAACTCTGGGCTAGATCGCAGTTGGTAGTCCGGAATGGGAAGCGGACGGCCACCTTAACCATAATCCCAACCCTAACCCTAACCTCAATCGTTACCGTTAACCGTTAACCCTAACGGCAACCCTAACCCTGACCCTAGTCAAAATCGTAAACGTTACCGTAGCCCTTAGACATAGCCGTAACTGAAAAGCCTAACCGTAATACTGGAACCTAGTCGTACGCTCAAACCCTAACTGTAACCCGAAAACCTAAGCCTAAAGGCATAACCCTAACCGGACAATCGGAAACCATTAACCGGTACCCTAATCCTAACCTCAAACGCAAAACGGAAGCCAAATGTTTCAGATGTGATTATGGAGCCCCACAAAATAACCTCAGTAAACAAACCCCCCAGCCACCTGTAATGCGGGTTCGGGCTACTAACTGGGATCTAGCCGAACTCTGCAATAAAGGACGAAGACCTATCGTCCATTTGTCAACTAAATTTTACGTTGGGCACTGGCTGACAGTTAACTGAGGACTAGGATCATTCTCAAAAATTAGAGCGTTTGGGTTCAACGTCTGTAAGGCTGGTTCAATTCCCTGGTAGCTATGGCCTAAGATATACGATATTCTACATTTTTATCAAGCCAAGGTTGACCGGTTCCTAGATTTGTACACTCTCCTCCACTTTTTCCTTTCTATATCTAATGAGACCGCGCTACAGACCCGCATATGTGTCTGCCGACTCTCTCATCCCCAATTGTTTGCCTTTCTTCAACTGACCCTAATTATATTCCCATCGTCGTTTTCTGCAGGCCGGACACCATTTCGCCTATGACCCGAACTCAGCTGCCACTTTGATACAAGCTCAGTATCGGGGCTACCGAACGCGGAAAACATTGGCGGGGATTCACCAACAAGCTGCTGAAGGTAGCGAGGGGGATGCATCGCACAGACATCACTTTGCCGGCGACCGGGACTCGGCCGCTACACTGATTCAGGCAAAGTACCGAGGTTACCGCACCCGCAAGTCCCTTGCGGCCATGCAGCACCAGCAGGCCGCCAAGGTCGGTGAGACGGAAGCATCACACGGACACCATTTCCTCGGTGACCGGGACTCTGCCGCTACGCTGATTCAGGCCAGCTACAGAGGCTACCGCACTCGCAAATCTCTCGGATTTAGGCCATCTCGCGCCAATGAGGAGAACCAGGCTGAAGGTTATCAGAAAATGAACCCCGATGTAACCGCAGCCGAACGACAGACACGCCCTCACGGCTACGACATGCGAACCCATCAGGCAAAGGGCTTGAAGGACATATCTAATCAGTCCGCGATGGGAGACGATAAGAGACCCTTGGAGGACGTCCTTAACCGGGCAGCGACAACCATACAGGCCAGTTTCCGCGGCTATCATGTTCGTCGTGAGCTGCAAAAACATGACAGCAAGCATGCCTACCAGAGTTCCGGTAAGCAACAAGTCGCCGCTCCGAGTCCCGACGAACTGGAGGCGGCCAAAAAAATCCAGGCTGCTTTTCGGGGATACCGAGTGCGAAAACAGTTTAGGTCCCAGACAACCCCCATATCGCCAGTCTCCTCTGGTTACCCTGATCTTGACGACTCTAAGTACGTTGCTGCTGCCACGAAAATTCAAGCCAGCTATCGGGGATATCGTACCCGAAAAAGCAGCAATTTCCATCGGTCTTCCGTAGCTCCAATTGCCAGTTCAGCAAAAAAATGATGACTGCTTACAAGCCCTTTTTCCTAAGAGTACCATAAAACTTTAATAAGACCATGTCTGACAACTGGTAGGTGCACATTACCCTCCACACGTTTCTTAATTTGCCATGCTAATTATACTCAGATGCCGAAACTGATGCCATTTTGCTTACTGATTTGTCATTTCATACTGTTGATTGTAAGAAACATCATATAATTAAAACAAGGAGGCCCATGCAGCCAAGCTAAATTGAATTTTTTTAAGAGAGTATCCGAGTTATTTGTTTCGTCACGAATTTCATCAGCCACAATAAAGCAAAACACGTTTACTTTATATGATTATTGTAAAAACTCAATGGCTTATCCCAAATAAACTGCACGAATGGCATTAGTATCGAATAATCACTTAATGGAAACTACATCCAAAGGATTATGCTGTGGTTAATCTGCGGATAAAGACTTATTTCAGGGTTAAAAATTTTCCGTTGTTAACCTCCAGCGTTTTGTCCCGTCAAGTGCATAGGAGAACATGGGAATTCGAGTTTTTGGCACAACCGTTTTGCGCAAAGATTAACCAATTTTTAATTGGAAACACCTTCTATGATGGGATGCGTATCCTTCAAAGAAAGTTTAGGAAAATACGTAGCGTCCGAACTTCAATAGAATGTCCTCAGAGCACTCTCAATGCTGCAACAAGAATAACAGAACAAACAGTATGAAACTGACAATTACGTGATGGCACTGACATCTGTTGCAAAATCTAATTGCACAGTACTTCCACGTTCTTGAGTCTGCCGGTGTACTTATTGGTAGGCATTATGCGATCTGAAACATATGGTACACGACAAATCTCCCAAAACTTTTGGCGAAATATTTCCAAATAATTGCAAACGGAAAATGTCACATAGGTGGGATTGCAAAACCATGTAGCAAGGGAATCTAAACCAATTTCTGTGCGATTGGACGCAAAATTTTGACTGAATGGCCTTTCACCCTCCTGTGCTACGTGAGCTTGGAAAGGAACAGGACAACTTAAGCACTGTAAGCATTTTCCGCTGAATTCCATGGCCTACATAAATTTACTTACATTCCATGAAAGGAATGCACAAAAATCTCACTTTACATACCATTCGGAAATTCTGTTCAATGCAATGCTGTGCAAGGAAAAAATTAATTTAACCGTTACGAAATTTGTGACTGTGGGAAGTTTCGGAGCACTCGTGTAGTTATTAGTGCAAAGCACTCTCCCCACGTTTATTAATGTTTCTCATATAATTGCGATGCAGTCTAGGGCTTTTTCAGCACCAGACGTTCTATTTATAGGTAGACAGTATGAAGTGAACAGTCATTTGGAAGAAAATGCAAAGCATATGGCCTAGGAGGCGCCAATGTAAACGCAAGTCCTGTTTCGGAATGCGTGGATCTTTGTAGACCCTTTTAAAACCGAAATACCCCATTTACCGGGCAGGAGATGTGCATAAACAGCACGTTTTTACGGACAGAGAGGAAGGAAGGTTTTTTATTCTTACCTTCACGCGGGTTACCACCGCTGGCTGTGGGTGACTCATGTGGGTATGTTTGGGCGCATTGGACGTCAGCCTCGTTCTCGCTGCCTGTCTCCACGGTGGGCGAGAAGGCCACACGATGTCGTCTGACGTCCCTGTGGACATGCTGACTCTGCGAAATTTCAGGTTTTCCAGGACTGATTTATTCAATCTTGATAGATAGTACTGTAATATTACCAGTGCAGCAAATACGGGAAAAATATCGGTGAGTGAGAATTGGTGCATCCTCACCTTGGTCGACATGGTCTAAAAAGAGTTTTATCAAATCATAATAAAAATTTGGATGCCACCTGACGTTTACAATGACAGTCGGGTGGCTTAACGAGGAGAAAATGACATGTGCGACAAAAAAAAGTTTGACCTGGTATGCCTCTGCCGGACTATGCGGAAAGTGACGGGCTTGTTTGCCTGCCGCATTCCTACTCAAACTCATATTGCCTGCATCGGCGGTGAACGGCCAACCTGGAGAACGACCAGGAACTGATGTCGGCTATTTAACGAGCGGAAAGCTGTTAAATAGTCGCCGCATGCGAGCTGTCGCGGGACATGTGAATGCTTTGTTAAAAACTGCGCACTGAAAATCACAACTGAAGTGGGCATGCAGTAGAGCCAAAACCTTGAATAAACTGATCTACTCCAACTTCGTAGATAATTTCAGAGGAAATTAAAAAGCGGCAATTTCTAAATTGAAGTATCTACCAGAAAACACACGGGGAGTGCTGGGGGACCCACTGACGGGCCGAACCCCTCACAGCTGCGCCATGAAGCGGGAGAATATCGGCGAAATACGCTTTAATGGGCTTTTGGCGAGTACCTGTGCTGTTACTATGGTATCACCTTCCCCTAAAATATACTACTAGCTGTCTGTCGACGGTTAATGACTATCACGCAGTTACCCGCTGTGGTTGATGGACTTTGGTCCAATTATTCATACATAAAATTCTCGGTCTGAGCCTATAGACCTTGAATAAACTGATCTACTCCGACTTCGTAGATAATTTCTGAGGAAATTAGAAAGCGACAGAGCCAGGACATTCTCGGCCCCATACACTGGATATAACCGCGGCATGTATGGAACCATCAGTAATTCCCAACAATACTCACCTCTCCGAAGTGAAACGATTCACTTTTTCAGCGCGTATCTCTTTGATAAATATCAGAAACGGTCAGAAAACTGTTGTCTGGAGGACAGAAAACGATCGATTTTTCGGCGGGGTGTAAGTGTCTGCATGGAATTGCCATAGAATGCTCCTCAACATCGAGTTGGGGATGTTCGGAAATGTGGTCTTTTCCACGTTGTTCTGTGACCCAGAGAAAAGGAATTCTGCCGAAGCAGTGCTGGCAGAATTAATCACTTCCTAATAAACAATTTTCAGAGTATTTTGAAGGGGGAATCCATTGTGTATGCTCATGTCATGTTCTATTACCATACAATGCTGAATTAGCTTTAGCATTGATTGAGCAACTAACATTTGACAAAGATTGATGGCAACATTGCAATAAGTATTTATTGACTTGGAGGCCAACGAGCAGGCTACATCGATACTTCGAAGACTTTGTTGAAATTTCTGTATAGCATCATGGGACTTCGGACGTCATCCCGTAGGATAAACATGCGCGGTCATCTACCGCGAAATCTAATGCACCAACCATTGAAGTCGGTTGATTAAAGCAAGCCAAGGTGAAGCGACAGAACCGCGGAACTGAACTGCCAGGGAATGGAGCTATCATCTCAATCTGACATATCGTGAGTTAAGGTTATGACTATGGGTGGCCTAGAACTGTCTACCTGACTAATCCAACCACCACCCCAACCATATCAGCATCGCTGAATAAATTGCTTTGAGCTTGCTTCATTTTGTCTGAAATTTCAATTACGGTTCGGTTTCTGCGGATTCTCTTGTAAACACTCCAAATCTCCACGCCGTCAGGACGGTTCGTTCATTGTTTCCGATGATGCCCATCGTGTGCCCTGTGGGAGCTGGACATGTGAATTGGGCGCGAGTTATTTTATGATGCTAGTGGACTTGGGCTGCATCCGACACGCTCTATCCTACCTCACTGTCCTGAACCCGGTATCAGGACAGAGTCACGAAGGCGAAGGGACCAGGCGTACCCGGCGGTGCCACTACATCCACACAAAGGACCAAGTTATCACACAAACAAGGCGCACCTCAGATCCCAGCTGATTGGGAGTGCTATGGAGGCCATAGCCATCCTGAAAGGAGGACCCAGTCAATTTGCCAGTTGGCAGTCTTCCAAACCACGACTTTTAGTACACCTTGATAGTTTGAAAGCGCGTCAGATTGTTTATGGTGATGACTATGCACTGGGAGAATCAACCTCACTCACTCTTCCCTCTCCTTTACACCAATTTACTGGCCGAGCCAGTAAACCAACTGATGCTGGGAGTGGACGCAGTGCCTGATAGATCTAGACAGCCCGTCTGCGCGTGCCACACACACGGCCCGCCCAGCACACCGGAGTTCCACACAGATGGGCCGGACTGCTTGATCTCACAGGTGTTAGAGTAGCAGAAGTCTAACATAGAGAAAGAGCTAAAAACGCTATTATCACTTGCATGGGAGCTGCTGATTTCGTGCCTGTGGCGGGGGATGAGGGATGGGTTTGTGTGTGCTGAATGTGTTGGTGAGGCGATGTGTGGTGATGGGATTTAACCAGCAGTACTTTACCAAGGTTTTTCTGGCTGCGCCGTCAGGAGAGAGGTGACGGCTACCATCAGTGCCCATGCCTAAACCCGCCTCCATCGTCGTCATACACTCCAATTACACACCAGTCATGTTGGACACCCGCGAACCCAAGACGTTACAAATTTAGAACCACTGCCACGGAGTCCGGTAAAGAAAAGGCAAGTCGCTTCAAACTAGTCACGCTGTCCTCGCATCATATGGCTGTGTATCAGCTCGTACGGCTTTATGCGCATACGTAGAACAGGTCAATAAATTGTCTTTAGATAGCTCGAGCACTACAAGCGACGTGTTACTCTGTTGTTTCACGAGGCGGACGCATCTGTGACTTACGTGTGTTTGCTTATTATGAGCAGAACGTCCGGCGCGTCTTGTTTACCCTTTCTCTCTGCCCCCACTGCTTTTCGATTGCAAGACAAAATCGAAACGACTGGCGGTGGACCCCGAAGCACCAACTAGTGTATGTAAACACGGCTCTTGCGCGCGTGAATGGCCTAGTTTGGGGGGAGGGATAAATAAAGCTCATGCATACTCGTTGGTCTTGCTTTCGGCTCAGATATTTGTGGGGTCTTTTATGCTGGAGAGATGTCGAATTTCTTTGTCTTTGCCCAGTCAGTCCTTATGCTATCGTCACGTGCATGCGTGGGCTTCAAAACGGTGGCTAAGATACCGTCCTGCAGTTTCTCTTCCTCTCCTTCTTCTTCTTCTTCTTCTTCTTCTTCTTCCTGCTCCTCCTCCTCCGTCCTCAGCTCAGCTGGGACGATGCTGTTCAAATATTTTTGCAGGGTTAGGCCTTTACATCCACATGAACTGTTATTGGGAGGAGGCGTAATTCCTAATGAATGGGACACATTTCTCCCGGCGGCGTGTGAATCTCACTGTCCTACGTCGATCTCCGATTCCTTGAGGGAGGCAGGTCAGTCCTCTTCATGACAACTTTCTTGATGACAAAGAACTCCAATTTCGTTGCTATCATTTTCTTGGCTGCCCACACCGGGAGGTTCGTCCTGAGCGCACTTCATTCGGTTGTCCTTGCGGGAGGAGCTGGCTTTAATGAGAGTCGAGATGTTTGCGTTCTCCAGGTACCAGAGTTTTCTTTTCTGATCGATTGGTCATAAGATTATCAAAAATGGAATAAACTATCCAGACTGTCAAACCAACGTGGGTCTTTGTCCGCCGTCTTGACGCCTACAAGCCACTGTTCTATTGCCGGCTGTCAAATTGCTCGCTCACGTCTAGGAGAGTTTTTTAATGTCTTTGTCCGCAAGGGAGAAAGCTGGTTTCTTAGAAAAGAAGGCCTGGGTGTATCAGGCGCCCACAGACCTAAACTATGACTCACGGTCAATGCAGAGGAAAAAACACAGTCCGAATTGTCTTTGACATCCGGCTCTACTTGTTGCCGTACCCGTGCTACTATTTTTATTGAGCGAGGAGTTAATGTTTAAAAATGAAAAATTAGCAAGTCTGAAAACACCCATCCCGCATACCCTCATTAGCTTTAGTCAGCTGATCAGTAACCGTTAACAGGGTATGCCTCACATTATTTTGGTAGGAACTACTAGTATATTATCGTGGCACAGCCAACCGATATCCGATACCCCCGTACCTCTGAATTATGCCCTCAGCACTCGTACAGCAACCATATTTTGAAGTCGACCATCAACGATACCGACCCACGAGCTGCGATCGCACATGTCCTAATTATTATCTCCGTACAGTTTAGTTTTTGTTATTGTAGAAGCGAGCTAATTAGTTTGTCCACAGGCCAACCCAACTACTAGTCGTCTGATGATGTGACCATCGGGAAATGGAGGACTCTGTTTCGGTATACCTCCCATGGCGAATGATTGACCGTTTTCTAAGGCAATCGGAGCATAATTAACGTAGGACTTTACAGGAGAGGTAAACGGTGGTTTGTTTGTGTTAAAACTAAAAATTCTAATTTCGATACAGGTGGAAAACACCGAAACCAATTAGCAGTATGTATGCGAGATTCCGCGGTCTCCAACATGTCTGCGAACAGAGCATCTATGAAAATCTGGCGAAAACCTGCACTAATGTTTGCCTTGAGAATTAAGTTACGGGCGGAATTCACAGTCAAGTTTCAACATGCTGTATAATATAGCTGAAAATTGTTAACTTGTACCTGCAAATTCCTTATTCATAAGGTTTCCACTGACCTATAAAAAACCAATCATTTTTTTGCAAATATAAACTTTAGATCCTAAGTAGTGTTGGCGCTAGAGGTCGGTGACTGAGTAGCAACGGCGTCTTGTAAAACAAACAAGAGGACTGCTCGGATTTCAGCCTTCATCGCACTTATCTTGGCCTGAAGACGAAGATTACTAGAAAGATATGTGTGACAGTCCACAGGAACCAGTGTTATCATGGTCTAATAAGTGATAAGTTCAGAAAAATGGCCAACACCTGGTCTTTATTTTCGTGCGACGACGATGTCAATAAAAGGAACCGACGAGGACGCATCGACGGCACATAAATCAAAGAAAAGGACGCGTGCCGGACACAGGGCCTATC